GGTAAACCCTAAGTCAACTGTGAAGTTGAAGGAGATTAAGACTCAATTCCAAGTCTTTATGATCATGGAATATTGTGTTGATATATCTAAGAGGTTATTTCAAGATCAGATCAAGAAGATTCAAGAGTGTGAGAAGTTGCTAAGCTAGGGTTTCTAAGCTTGTCAGTGTAAAATCCCATGTTTAGTGTCTAACTTCAAGACCATATATCTCAAGATACAAGTCTCATCTCATCTTGACTCCAACACAAAACTTAAAGAGCATGTTTCTAGCTTTCTTTTTAGTACTATAACTCATCCATTGGGTTTCTAGAACTCAAGTTATGATGTTGACAAGTTAAGGGTCCTCAAATGAATGTGATTTTGGTCAACAAAAGTCAACCAACTTCCAAGACATTTTTGACCTAGAAGGATGCTTCTCCTTACTTTGCCCCAAACATGAAAGTTGTTCCTTATGATCTTAGCTTTCTAAAAAGTACTATAAGTACTTCATCTGATTTATGGAGCTCAAGATATGAAGCTTGCAAGGCAGAGATATTTTAGGAAACTTTGATTATAGGCCATTTTGGTTATAGGTTATTTTCATGGCTTTGCACACTTCAAATGGAACTTTCTCCAACATCAAACTTGTTTCAAATGACATCCTTTCCATCATCAAACATCAACTTATCATGGGTTTGGTTTGAATTTGTGAATTGTTGAAGGAATTTCCATGAAAAAGTACTTAAAAGCCATGACTTTGATTATATGCATTTTGAACCATTTCATGACAAGTTTATGCATTTTTTTGAGTCCCTTAAACATAACAAACACAATGCCAATATCAGAATGGAGTTTTGATGAGTTTTGACATGCCATTTTTCAACCACAAGATCATTTCAAGGAGTGAATCATGTCCATTGGATCACTCTACATCATAAGCAAGTGGTATAAACTGAGATCAGAGCTTTGGGAGCAAGAGCACGCGCGCAATTTCAAGGCAAAAACTTCAAATTTGGATTTTCTCAATTGACCTTAACAGGCCATAATTGGGCCTCCATAAGCATTTAGATCCAAAGTATATAACATCTAGATCATGTACAAAGCTTTAGAAGGTGATTTGGATCAAAATTAAAGGAGAATTCAGTTAAACGAGTGAAGGAAAAAGTGGAAGAGTGAAATCAAGAATCAAAGCATTTCAATCCAATTGAAGGTTCCCAGAAGCTTTATTGAAGTTCCTTGAAGCTTTATGGTTGTTTTTCCACAAGTTTCATCCACAAATCAAGGCTCAAAGGAGGCACTCTGTTAGGTAAGTTATCTTTCCAAAATTTTCTCTGATCATGCACCAATCATGCGCCATTTTCATGTATTCTTGAAGCCCTATCATCATAGGCCATTTCTGGATTGGTTTTGTGCTTGTTCGTGTTACTTTGTGATACGACCTTGAAACTTGTTAGCTTCGGTTTGCTTCACTTTTTAGTGATAAATTAAAACAAACATTAGAATCATGATCTAGGCAGTGAGAGGAGTATATTGGTATAGAAAATTGCACATTTTGGTTCAGTCTTGATCTTCATCTCCGGCAAGCCCACCGAAGAAGACAACCGGCACCACCGTCTGGTTTTAATTCCGTTTTGCCCACGTGTAGCACCACATCAGCCTCTGACTTGTTGACTGATCCCCACCTAACGGCCTTGATTGCATCTTATTACATGTTGACCAATTGACCTGCCAACTTGTTTCACTTAAACAAACTGTTTCATTAACTCAGTTTTGAGTCTTGGACTTGGGCCTCCCTTGCTATTCGTACCCCCCTGAACGTGAGCCCACCAAAAATAACTAGAATAATTGCTAATTGTCACAGACTTTTTCCCATTTTCTTTTTCTTTTCATTATTTTCCCATTTTGTAATTTGTTTGATTTTAATTCCATTAAAATGCTCCCAACTAAGATAAAAAATCATAAAAATAGTTTTTACACCTTTCAAGATGTTAAATAATTTTAGGAAATTTTAGTTTTATTTCTTGAACTTTTTTCAATTAAAAAAGGATTATTTCTTTGGAAGCATTTTAATTGAGTTAAATTTCCTTCTTTGTTGATGTGGGTTTTATTTCTTGATGAATTCTTCATGTTAATGGATGATTTTTCTTTATCATATTCTTGACATGTTAATTGTTTTTTTAGACCTTTTTACCCTTGGCTTTATTGATAATTGGTTAGGGTTTTAGGCTAGTTTCTATGACCCTCGATTCACCCTTGCATCTAGGGTATCCCTTTGAATTTCACCTCTGTTTGCATATTGTTGTTTGGACTTAGTCTCCATACTTTTGACCCCTGGTTCCTAACACCTTAGGGGTCATCTAGGATTTTATTTGGCATTTTTTGGATATGTTTGCTATTTTTAGTGTAATTTCCAATTTAGGATATCCTTGTTTGATGTTTACCCTAGTTAGTGAACTAGTTTGTTTTGTAAATGACTTTTTGTGCATTGATCAAGCCTCTAACTCTTGTGGATTCATGTCATAAACATATTGAGGTGTTTGTATGTTGAATTAAAGGCTTAAAAGATTTCCAAAAACAAAGTTCAAACCTTTTTGTCCTTTGGGACCCTTAATAATGGAAAACCTTTTCATAAAGAGAGTTTCGTTAACTCTTAGTTCTACCGCAAATAGGTAACGCCTAAGTCTCCAATGGTCGAGCTGCATACACCTAACTACTAGAACTAGTTGTTAACCCTACTCGGGTAAAAAAATAGTTGAACCAACCGGTGTTCTTATTTGCCCGAACTACGTTTGCTCTGATTTCTCATACCAGATGAGAATACGTAGGCATAAGACGGCGATGTCTTGGCGAGCAACCTTCCCCCATCTTCATCCGTAGTTAGTCGAACTACGTTGACTATGACTTTCCCATCGCACGAAGTAGGCACAGAGCGGTGACGCTCTGCCGAGTCACTTTTCTTTTCTTTTGTCCCTGAGACCTTTAGCGTAGAAAGTTTCAATCACCCTTTTAGATAGATAACCAAGTGTGGATCCCGTCGAGTACGACGGACGTGAGGGGTGCTCATACCTTCCCCTTGCGTAACTGACTCCCAAACCCGAGATATGGTTGCGATGACCCGTCTTCTCCCGTTTTCGTCAGGTTTTCTCTGATTGTTTCCTTTCCCTCTTTGGGATAAATAACGAACGGTGGCGACTCTTCTGTCATTGTCGGCACCTTTTTTCGCAGTAGCGACATGGATCAAGGTATTTGGTTCAACACCCAAGATAAAAGCTTCATCTTCAAAGCTCAAGCAAGGGTTCATTCTTAACCTTGTGGTGTTATCAAGTCAGAAGGTCTTCACCATCATCAAGACATGTCTCACAAGTATTTGAATCAATGATCCAAGCACTGACCACCTACTCATATCTTGTGGGCAAATGGATTAGGGTTTTGGTTCAAAAGGCATATGTGGCTAGTTCCTTGGGAAAGACATGATTCTAAGGCTCAATACACATCTTGGGGGTCCTCTACAGGGATTATGTTTCATAACAAGCCATCACATGTTCTTGAAAACTCAATACAATCATTTTGATTGTAATTGAAAAAATTATGCACTATCATTACTTAGAGAATTTCACTTGGGGTGTTTTGCACACCAAGTATTCGACGAATTGATCGCACGCAAAGTATTTGTGTTGTTGTCAATTTGAGTTTAATTTTTTACAGGCCATTGGAAATTGTACAAACTTAAGTGAATATAATTGTATTGGTTAGCATTCAAAATATTGATTCGTTTTCTCATTGGATTCAATATTCTATCTTGGCTCATTGGATATCCGATCTTTTCAGTAACAGTTCATTTATACGACCTTGTTCCTCGGCCACTTCCGCATAAATTTTTTAAAAACCAAATTTATTTTAAGCGCCGACTCTGTTTAAAAATTAGTGATCTATTCAACCCCCTTCTAGATCATTGTCGTCGTCTAACAAAGCTTTGTTTTGAGTTTTATTGTGTCTTTTTGTTTTCGTTGTTAGTTTGTGTTATGAAACTCTATTCGATAAAGAAATTCTTATATAGAGGAATAGAGTTTGTTTTGAGTTATAATTGGTTTCATAATTTATATTGTATTGCAACTGTCCAAACATTTGGGAGAGTGCTTGAGAGAAAGGGAGAAGAGTCTCCTATTCAGGGGGAGTCATGAATAAAAATTCACAGGTAATATTAAGAAAAGACGCTTTGAATTAGAAAGGCTCAACTAAAACCAATTCGTACTTTTACTATTAAGAGGGAATTTCCTTTCTTAAATTAACGTCCTTCAGACATAGGTGACTTTACACCGAACTGAGTTAACAATTTCTTGTGTCATTTTTTTTACTTTAATCATAATTTATTTGTTTCCATCAATCTTGTCATATTCATTGTCCTAGAGATTGTATCTTACATCTTTCATGCGGAAGAACAAACATTCAATTTTTTACTCTATCTCTCTTGATATTAAAAATGACGTTGTTAAAAATAAGTTTGATTTATCTTTTTTAAGATTTATATCCTTTGAGTGAGTTTTGATATAGTCCACTAACTCCTTTTTGTGTTATCTTTTTCTTTCAATTCAGGAGCCATTTATAAATATATAAAAAAATTGTATTCTTTCATTTAGACCAAGAGTAGATGATAAAAATAGATAAATTTTAAAGGTAAGTCTTATTTATTATAAAATAAATTACTGACATGAGATTATATATAAAGATGATTGGATGAAATAATATAATTTGGTGTGAGAAGCCTTTACTTATATGAATATAATTTGGTAGAGTTATATATAATAAATAATTCAAAAAATAAAAATTTAATAAAAAGTGAGATTTTTTTATAAGTACAAATTTATTGATGGGAACAAACTTGCACAAGAGATCTCTTGTGCAAAGTCTCTCTTAAGTTAACACACAAATATAAAATTACAACGAAAAACTATAAACAAATCAAAGTAACACAATACATGAACAAAACTAAGTGGAATTAACTAAGTGGATTTTCTCTTTTTTTAAAAACTCAATCCATGTTTAACAAATTTCTCTTTTGTGATTGTGTTTATGTGCTCAATCATTTTTGGTGTAAGAAGATTTTTCCAATCTCCAACTTGATCAAGACGAAAAAAAGCTTTGCTTTCAATTTCATACGAAGTTTTTCCGGTCTTGTTGACTTCCAAATTACTCAACTTGTCAAAACTACACAAATTTAATATATCATCAAGCATACCTTTAGATTCTTCTTCTTTAGAGAATGGACAGTCCAAAAACTTAGCAATCTCTTTCAAATAAAAATTAGGTTTCATTTTCATTTCTTCATATTTCAAAAACATAATCTTCTCGGAACTTTCTAAACTTTTTTTCCAATATCCTAATACATGCCCCCAAAAAGGTCCAAAAGGACTTTCTCCTCTGCAAAAACTCTCAAATGCCTCTTCTAATGGAAGTGTTCCACTAGTTTTTGCTCTTATCTTGTTTATGAAATGCCACAATGAAACAAAAACGTCTTTAGGATCTCTACATAGATACACCACCTTGCAAGTCGAGTCTATAAAAGATTTTGGCAATAATTCATAAGGTAGATGAGAGGAATAGAGTCTTGGATGAGAAATTGTTTTGAAATCAGAAACAAAATCTCTATCACAAAAAGGAACAAGATCATGAGGCGTAGTGGTGTGTAAAGGATGGTTGTTATGAGTAATTGGATATTTGTTGCGGTTTATCAAAGCAAAGATTAATGCTTTAAGCCAAGTTGTACCCGATTTAGGACTAGTGGCTAAGAGAATATCAGTATCAAAAGCTTGGAAGTGCTTTTGACAAAATAAAACATAATGGAACCTCTCTGGGGAAAACCAAAATCCTTGATATTGATGTATGTGAGATGAAAGCCAACCTTTTTCTAATGGCAATGTGGCTAACAACTCCTTGCATTCTTTATCTATGTCATGTTGTTGTAAGTATTTTGGTACAAGAGTGTTTTCATCACTTGAATTTTCCATGGTGTTTATATAGAAGGCTGTAGTTGAGATTGAATAGGTTTTTTTGTTGGTTATGTTTAAGATCCTTGAAGTTGATCATATATATATATATATATATATATATATATATATATATATATATATATATATATATATATATATATATATATATATATATATATATATATATATATATATATATATATATATATATATATATATATATATATATATATATATATATATATATATATATATATATATATATATATATATATATATATATATATATATATATATATATATATATATATATATATATATATATATATATATATATATATATATATATATATATATATATATATATATATATATATATATATATATATATATATATATATATATATATATATATATATATATATATATATATATATATATATATATATATATATATATATATATATATATATATATATATATATATATATATATATATATATATATATATATATATATATATATATATATATATATATATATATTAAAATATTGAAATTAATGGTAGATTGATTGAGTTAAATTAAATTAATGTAAATTGATAGTCAAGACTGAATTTCGAAAATAATATTTATTTATATTTATGTATTAGTATAATAAATTAAATTTTAAATTTTAAAAAAATATTGCAATTAAGTAACTTAAATATTAATTATAATATTTTTTAAAGAAAATTGCTTTATGATAAACTAATCAAATAATTTTTTTTTATTTTAAGTATATTTTAAACAAATCATCTATAAAAAATTTGTTAAAAAGATAGAATATTTAAAATGATTTTTTATGACAAGATATTTAACTCAACTTTTATTCAATATATTTAAAATTTTATTTTATTTGAATAAAAATATAATATACTATATAAATCATTTTTAAAAAAACACTTTGGAATGAGTTGAATATTGTACTGCACTATTATTACAGTCAACGACTTCATTTCAGGTGTATGTGTAAAAATTTCTTAGTAAATCTATATGGTCTTCCCATAGGTACTGTTTGTCTTGTCGTATTTATTAATTAATTTGGGTTAAATGTACTCTTGGTTCTATAAGTTAATTAGTTTTTGAGTTTAATTTTTGTAAAAAAAAAAAAAAAATTGTCTGAATCCCTTTATGTTGCTATTTAATCTTTAAAATCAAATTTCACACGAAAATATAAAGAAAAATCCGTTGAAAATCTAAAATTTTAAACATATTTCTATTAAAAAATACTTATAATACACCATGAATAATTTTTCAAAAAATTTCACCACTTTAATACACAATTCAATTTGAGTCAAAGTTAAGTTGCATATATTTTTTTTTTAATCTTTTTAATGTATTCTTGTATATAAATTTATAACAAAAACTTAAATGTATCTATTATTATGTCGCGGATACTTTTCTTTAGATAATTTTAATATATTTTGGTATATAATTTTATTGACTAAAATATAAATCTATGAACAAGTTGCTGATAAATTACCTAAAATGTGTTTTTTCTAAAAAATTTATAACATTTTATACTACAAAAAAACATATTTCTAAGTTATTCACTAAACTTTTTGTATTAAATGTTTTATATCTTACATTTTAATTTTTTAAAAAAACTTGTCATATTATTTTTGGTCATAATATTAAAAAGATTTAAATTTGAAGAAGTATTTGAGAATCTCCTGTGTAGGTAGGACTTGAATTCTGCCAAGAATAAGAATTACTCGTCAAAACAAAAATGATAAATCTGATTGAAAATGAGGATATGTAAAAATGGTAAATTGTAGTGGAGAGATGGAGAAAAAGACTTTCTTTATTTGTTTTTAATTTCTTCTTTTGATGGGTCCATTATAAGATATTTTTTCAAGTCGGCATGTCCTAAATGACAAATATGGGTCATACCTCCATGATTAAATTGAACTTTTAACCATTGATATAATATTTAAAATATTATGTGGTTCATATTAGAGAAGAGAAATTTGTTACATAACATTTTATCATTTTTTTTATTTGAAACTATTCCTTATTACATACCTGAGTTATCATATTTCACTTTTAACTTGTTATGGTTTAATTTCATCTTTGGATTAGGGACCATAGTATATGGTTGTTTGCTTTGTACTTGTGAGTCTTTGATTCATTGAATTTCGCATGGTGTTTTTTCGTTTTTTGTTGGTTTATTTCATTGAGTTTCGTAGGTTGTTTTCGTTTTGTTGGTTTCACGTTTATTGGCTATAGTCATATCGTGGATTTCGATTGATGTTTGATATAGCTCTGCATGGGGAGGCTGAGAATCAGTAGGAAGAGGCGAGAAGAAGAAAACCTACACATCATGACTTGAAAACCTCCATCTAGACAGATAGGAGAGGAAAGGAATTGGAAGCTAATGAAGATATCGAATTTGTTTTCTTCACTGAGTTTCCAGAAGACTATGGTGCAAAGGAGATGTTTGGAGTTTTTAAGGACTATGGACTGGTTTGGGAGGTGTTCATGCCGGCAAGAAGGGACAAGAAGGGTAATAGATTCAGTTTTGTGTGTTTTAGAAAGCTTAAGGATGCAAGAATATTAGCGGTTAAACTAGACAACATTCAAATCAGGGGAAAAAATTATTTACAAATCTTCCTAGATTTAATCGGAGTATAGAAGAAAAAAAATTGAAACCGCAACTTGGAAAATATTGAGCAGCTAACAGGCATGATCAACTCAAAATTAAGAAGTGGGTGAATGGAGATAATGTGTATAATAGAAGCTCGTACGCTCAAGTGGTAAGAGGTTCAAACACAAGGAGACAATTTATGGAGAAACCTTTATTTGCTCACTTACAGTTTAATGTTGGTGAGGATGAGATAGAGAGATTTAAGATATCTTTTGTGGGGGTAGTGAAAAGATCTGGAGATACATATAACATTCAAGAGGCTCTAAATGCTAAAGATTACTTCATGATTAATGCTACTACTTTAGGTGTTAACTTAGGCTTGCTAGAGGAATCCACTGATGGAGATATTAATTCAATGGTTAAAAATGATGAAGCATGGGTGAAAAGGTGGTTGATAATATTCACTCGTGGACACCATCAGATGTGGATAAAGAAAGGCTAACATGGATGAAATGTTTTGGCCTTCCTTGTCACGCATGGACTCCAAAATATTTCAAATTCATTTCAGGCCGTGTGGGGAGTTTATCACTTGCAATATCAACACTAAAAAGCATAAACACTTTGATGTGGCCAGATTCTTAATTAAAACCAAGTTTGCTATGAATCTGAATGAAGTCTTAAATGTTGAGATTAATTATGAGATATATTGTATCAATGTAATCGAGGATTTCCATGGACCAAAACAGATTACAATTCGAAAGGAAGAAGGATGGGATAGTGAATCAATAGAAACAGATGAATCTTGGTCGGATAGTGAGGAAGAAGTTGTTGAAATTGGTTCCGAGGAAGAAGATTTCGAAAGACTGAAGAGGCACGACAACCAAGATAGGAGAGACAAGTTGGAAGTAGAGTTTAGCACTCATAATGACGATTTGAGGGGTTCGGCGTGGCAGGTAGGTTGTGTATCTGCAGAACGAGGGATATGTACAATGAGGAACGAGGTTTCTATCTTTGAGGATTCAGATATAGCAGGTTCAAAGGTTACTTTTGGAGGATCAGATAAAGGTAATTATCATGGCAGGGTTTCAAACCAGGGTTCAGAAAAAGTTGGAGTTGAATTGGAACTAGTCAATTTGTTAAGTAAGGGGGCGATGAGTGATGTTGGGTATGTGCCTCCAAATCTAAATCAGTTGGGCCCAAGGATATGCGAACCAAGCCTTTTTAATCCTATTTCATGTATCCCGTAGGGGTGGGGGGCAAGTGGATCGGGTGTGGGCCTAACAAGCAAAAAGAAAAACTTAGTGAAGGAGATTTATGAAAACATTAAAATTCCATTCTCCCCTTCCTATTTCTCTACCCTTATCCATTTGAGGAATAAATCTTCTACTGACCTAGAGCTTAGAGAGGATGTTACCAGCATTATAAGTAAGAGCTTTGAGGCAAATGAGGAAATTTCAAAACATTCTAGAGGATCTATCCTTTGTTGCAATTCGATTAGTGATGGGGATATGAATCAAGGCAACAAGAGAATTCAGAAGTCGTTGGAGGATGTTCTGAAGAAGGTATGGCAGATTATCAAGGATATGAGGGTCGATGGAGAAGAAGATGATGAATTATTTGAAAGTATTGTGAGAGATCTAGAATTAAGGGACCACATATTATTTGAAGAGAAGAAGGGGAAAGAAATTATAGTAGCATGAATATATTGCCAATCAACATAAGAGGGTGTGGCTATTTAATTAAGGTAAGGAGAGTTCTTCAAATGATAATGGAAGGGAAAGTTGATGTTTGTTTCATCAAGGAATCAAAATTGTAGGTGAGTAATGACAAAGTAGTGAGGAATATTTGGGGAAAATATAATTTTGGGTGGTCTACAATAAATTCTATTGGACAGTCGGGAGGCATTTTATCTATATGAAGTAATGAAGCATTTAACATGTTGTTCAGTTTTAGAGGGGGTGAATTTTTGGGAGTTAATTGTTTATGGAAGGGTTTGAATTACTACCTTGTAAATGTATACTATTCGTGTTGTATCATTGAGAACAGAAAAATGTGGAACGACTTAAGTAATATTAAGAAAACATTTCCTCGTGGCGAATGGCTTGTGGGGGAGATTTTAATTCTATAGAGGTTGAGAAAGAAAGGAAAGGAACGAGAAAAGTGGATGTGGTGAAGATGAATGATTTTTCTTCATTGAGGCAATTGAGCTGATTGACTTACCAGTTGTGGGAAACAAATACACATGGTTCAATTCAAATGGAAGATATAGGAGCAAGTTAGATAGAATACTGTTGTCTGAAGGTTTGATTAGTGATTGGAATGTCGTGGCGCAACATGTTGGCATTCATGACGTATCTGATCATAGACCAATTTGGCTAAAGATTAATAAC